GACATATCTGAAAAGATGCTGCTATGATTTTTCTAGGATTTTTATGGTTTCAGTTCTCATATTTAGGTCTTGAATTCATTTTGAGTTTATTCTTTGTGTATGGTGTAAGAAAATGTCCAGTTTCGTTCTTTTGCATAGAGCTGACCAGTTTTCCCAGCACAATTTGTTGAAGAGACTTTTCCCCATTGCATATTCTTGCCTCCTCTGTTGTGTAAATTGCTTGGGTAGTTTAGACATCTTAACCATATTGTTCCTCTAATCCATGAGCGTGGAATGTCTTTCTATTTCTTTTTGTTGTCTTCAATTTCTTTGATTAATGTTTTATAGTTTTCAGCGCACAGATCTTTTACTTCATCGATGACGTTCATTCCTGGGTATTTTGTTTTTTTCGGTACAATTGTACACGAGATTGATTCCTTAATTTCTCTTTTTGCTGCTTCATTATGAGTGTACAGAAATGCAACCGATTTCTGTATACTGATTTTGTATCCTGCAACCTTACTGAATTCATTTATCAGTTCTGGTAGTTTCTTGGTGGACTCTTTGGCATTTCCTATATGTAGTATTATGTCATCTGCAAATGGTGAAGGTTTTACTTCTTCCTTACCAGTTTGGATGGCTTCTATTTCTCTTTGTGGTCTGATTGCTGTGGCTAGGACTTCCAGTACTATGTTGAATAAAAGTGTGTTTAAGAAAGGACATCCTTGGGGCGCCTGGGTGGCGCAGTCGGTTAAGCGTCCGACTTCAGCCAGGTCACAATCTCGCAGTCCGTGAGTTCGAGCCCCGCGTCGGGCTCTGGGCTGATGGCTCAGAGCCTGGAGCCTGTTTCTGATTCTGTGTCTCCCTCTCTCTCTGCCCCTCCCCCGTTCATGCTCTGTCTCTCTCTGTCCCAAAAAAAATAAACGTTAAAAAAAAAAAATTTAAAAAAAAAAAAAAGAAAGAAAGGACATCCTTGTTTTGTTCCTGACCTTAGGGGGAAAGCTCTCAGTTTTTCACCACTGAGTATAATGTTAGCTGTGGGTTTTTCCTATCTGGCCTTTATTGTGTTGAGGTATGTTTCCTCTAACCTACTTTGTTGAGAGTTTTTACCATGAATGTATGTTATGGAGTATAAGTTTTTTAAAATATCAGCTGAATTTAAAGTTTTAGCTTGTACGAGATATTCCATTCTCTATCCCAAGAAGGCTATGGTCTAAGTATCTATTATGAATAAAGTAAATAGTATTTTTTCCCAGTTTTCTGAGAAATAGCTGACTTCCCTGTAGAAATAATAAATTCTGCAGTAAAAAGTTTTTACGTTCCTCTTCCCAAGAAAGATTTTCTCGTACCATTAAATGACACCTCTAAAACTCATGAGTATATTAATAAAAAGCATGAACTTACTTATTTCTCCATTTCAATAATGAGGAATAAGATGTCAAGAAGTACTATTATCCCTTGACCAAGGGGGAAAAGAAAACCCAATCATCACCAATACCTACGACCTAAAACAGATGTTTTAGATAGATGTTCCTAAGCACCTAGCTGCCCAATACTTGACCAACTAGCTCTAATTCAGTAAAACAAGTGCACGATCTCTACTTACACCATTACATCAAGATAATGAAGCATGACGCTAGTGTTTGGCTATGCCTGAACAACTGCTGGTGACCAAAAATGCAGGCAGGTACTTGAGACCCCAAAGCAAGGAAGAGTTAGTTCATTCATGAGTTATTATTTCTGTGGCATCAGCTTGGGACAGGGACTAACAGACACAGGGATTTCTAAAGGGGAGGCAAGCCAAGAAGGGCCAAGTTACCAACATCTATGAGACTCTGCCAAGTCACCCATCCACTTCCGGATGGCGGGGGCATTCCAAAAGGGCTACCTGGCCAAAATGTGCACAAACAGCAGAGCGAGGGCACCATCTGATTCACAGTGTTCAGACCACGACAGTAGCAGCATAGACCACAAGGGCCAATTTCTGTGGGAGTGCTTATAAAAAGGCATTTACACCGACAGGAAGTGTTGAACTATTCACGAACGACAAAGACGAAGCCAGTCATTTCTGATCTCCCACATTCCAGCTGGTTATTAATGTCTTACACCCTCTTCTGGAGGGAAGCGCTTTCTTGAGGCGGGCACTCTCTTATAGCTCATTTTTGTGGCCTCACAGTGATTAAATACATATATGAAATACAGACTGCTGATAGGAAGAGTACATCAAACCTGAGGCAAGATAAGCTTTATCTAAGAGGGCCAGCCGCATTAGGAGACAGGTCTGGGGAATGTGACCACTTGGGGTCTCCTGGGATCCCCCAATTCCAATGGGGCTTCATTTCCTTCTAAATGGTTTATGTGGATGAGATATCCTACATGCGTTTGCTTTTAAATCTTCTCTTTGGTTTACATCTTTCCTAAAAGGAAAAAATGGAACACTATTCCTCGCGTAATATTCCATTTACAACGTGTTTTACAAAGATAAGAACTGTGAAAAACTGTTAAAATTTCAAAGGGCAATCATAAGTGATCATTTCCTGAGAAGTGCATAGCTCAAGTGAGTGCTGAAGTTTACGAAGAGTAAATTGGACAAAATATCCTCATTTCCATTTTTTAGGTAAGGTATCTAGCCAAGCAGATCACAGAAATGTGTAGACAGAGGACTGAGGTACAACAACAAGGCATCTGACCAGCCATCGCATGATATTCTCAAGAAACGTACAGAGGAATATGGTGGGCTGACGGAGTAAAGGGTCAGTGATACACTGGACGGATGTTTATGGCAGAATGACAGAACACTTCTATTAATGATTTCATAAATTAAACCAAGAAATCCAAACTGAAGGGAGATACAGCTTCTAAGAATACAAACTGTTTTCACACTCTTCCTCTGAGAACAAATAGAAAAGTTGTGAGAAAAAACCAAAACAAAACAAAACATCTACATGAAGACACGGGAGAACTACCAAGGCAGCAGGAACCTGTGCTAAAGACTCAAAAGGTAAGGAAAGCTCATAGTCAGGATCCAGACTAGGCGATGCTTTTCCTTTTGAAGCATTTGTGTGCACAACAGAGAGGCTGAAAAGGTGGGAGAAGACAGTGACTGAAGCCACAAGTACAGAGCTATTATCGATCCCATAGAGGTGAGAGGTTCAGGGGAGAGATTTGGAGTTTGACCTCAGTCGAGCAGAAGGGGCCCTCATAAACGTTCTCAAATTTCAGTTGGGATTTTGAAGAGCTCTGCCCTAAGAGAAAGGGTAGACGGGAAATAGACCCGCTCTTAGAAGAAGAATGAAGCCCAGATTTCAGATAGCTTGACCCGAGACGGATTTATAATTATCGGCCCCTGGCCTAACTGCCCATGAGAAGCAAAACTGAATCCTCACTGAAGGATGACAATTTCATCCCAAAGTTCAAATTATCCTTATACTTCTTCATTCATAATACATGGCTCTTAATAAAAAGTAAGCAGCGATACGAAGCTTGCCCAAATAGTGAGCAAAAGTCATGAGAAACAAACAGACCACATTGAAGAATCCAACGTATAGGAAATCTAGACATTGTATTAATAAAGATGTGGAGCTTAAAAGCAACGGATTATTTTGTTCAAAAACCTACATATCAGTGTGCAGAATGTGGGCAAGTAACTAGAAATAAAAAATACTCCAATAGAAATTTTAGAACTGAAAAAGACACAGTGGAGAATTAAGCTGAAATCAGTAAAAAAAAAAAAAAAAAAAAAAAAAAAAAAAAAAAAAAAAAAAAAAAAAAAAAAAAAAAAAAGGTAAGAAAATCCTCAACTGTTTAAAAATTAATACCCTTATATGAGAAATCATAAAGAGTTAGAAAATATTTTGAACTGATAATAAAAATACAAAGTTCAAAACCTGGGGGATGAATGCAGAAGCTATGTGTAAAAAGTAGTTTAAACCTTAAGGGCAGGTATCAGGAAATTAGAAGGCCCGAAGCCCTTTGTCAGCAAGTGCTAAGTTGAAGCATGTGTGTTTTCTGACATGGCAAGTCCTCTCCGAGTTTCACAACAAATGAAAACGTGTACTTATGTGCACCAAAAGACATGCATCACAGAAAGGTATTTTTTTTAATTACCGGAAATCGGAATAAATGCTAACGTACATCGGTAGTTGGACGAGATACAGAAATCAGGGTGTGCAGACAAAAGTGGGATGCTTTAACGCAGTAAAGGCTAATGTGGATGAATCTCGAAATGTTCCTTCAAGGGAAGCCATTCATGACACGTACGGTAACATTCCCGTTTTACAAAATTCAAAGCGAGCAAGCAAAAAATTCCCCTACCACGTTGAGGCGGCCAGTGTTACCTTTCGGGAGGACAGCATCGATGCAGGGACGCAGTGGGGGCTTCTGGAGTCATGATAATAATCTACTTCGTGACCTACGTCCTGGTTGCATGAAAGCAGTTACTTGACGAACGGTCTTTCAGACTCCAAACATCAAGGATACACAAGGTCTGGCCTTAGCAGCAGTTCGGTCAAAAAGATTTAAGGTAAAGATCAGGAAACAAAGCCATGAGGCAGTGTGAGGAACGAGTGAAGTCTGACCGAGAGAAGGGATGATGTGGGAACACGATCTGTGGGCACCTGTAAGTACCGGCTTGTCCAACGGGAGGGCAGTTACCCTCAGCTCTGGAAGACGCTTTCCAGCATGGTCAGGGAAGGTTACAGAGACTCAAATTTTGATTTAATATACTAAATATTCTAAGTCTATTGTAACGTCACATTAGTGTACATTAAATAAGTACATTTAACATACTGGGTGCGTATAATACACGTAACACGATGCAGGTAATAACAATCGCCGAGTAACGGAACACACGGTCTCTCCAACAAGGACAGTCTCGGGCACTGAACGTGGTAACAAAGGCAGAATGGCCAGCTTCCAGGAAAAAGTGGAGGACGTTCCTGCCAGATCACTAAAGCCCTCTCCGTCACCCTCAGATTCGATGCCTATGTTAAACATAGAACCATGATAAAGAAAAACCTTACCCTTAATCGCGTAGTGGAGATCTCCGCTTTTAAAATATCGGGATCGTACTTAGTGCTGGATGAAGATCCTGAGAATACTTTTCAAAGAGAAAAAAGAAAAAAAAAAAAAGAACTTTTACCAGTTGTAGAACTAGCTCTCAGCTTGGAATTTACAAACTCTAAAAACGAGATTTACATGCTTTTGTGGATACTTACTTTATAACTCCTTTATTGTCATTCATCAGACACCTAAATATAAAAAGTAGTCTTCAAACCTTTATACTTTTTTTAAAAAAAACTCAAGAAAGAGGAATGCCTTAAAGACCATGGAGCCTACTGGTTTCTGGATTTCACACCTATGTACGAACTCTCAGAGGACCTTCCTGTGCACACGGTTTGTCAGAGCTGTGCGTTACCCAGAAACCGGTAATTTAAGCAGAACTTCTGAGCCGCTCACATCAAAACTGCTTCTTTAAACAAACCAGCTCCAGGCGATCCATTTCTGAGATATAAGCGGGTGATCGACAGAAAACTTCATTCCAGACAACAGTTCTAGCTCCTCCCGCTAAAATATTGTACAAGAGCAGCAAAGGGGGCCGAAATATTTGCCTTGACCCGCAGAGGTAAACATTAACTCATAAATAAATAAAAGGCAATCAGGCAGAGGAGTGAAAACCACCAGGGATTGATGATCCACAAATGAGGGAGGGGAGGGGACTTGCTGAGAAGTCTGCGGGGTACCCTCGCCCTCTCTCCTGGCTTCCGGGGACTTTTTCTGCCTAGGAAGGGACAGGCCTCAACAGGCAACTCCAGCGAAACGCAGGTGGCCTTCTCTTAGCTACACTTTGGTCCCCATTCTCACAGTCTGAACAGCCACACTGCACTTACAGCTTGTGTGAGAACTTGACTTCTCCTTATAGGCGTCATTTAATCGTACATATTCATCGAGGGCCAGGGCCAGTCTTTGCTCCTTCACGTGGTACAGCTCCTTCTGTGTCCTGAGAGCATCCTGGGCCACCGAGAGATAGTCCTTGAGCATCTTCTCCTGTTCCCCCCTCCACTGTTTCCGTGGATCTTCAATCTGTGTGGTTTCTGAAAATATACCAGGTGGGTTATTGTTTAGAATTTAATGATTTTTTTTTTGGATTATTTAAGCTTTAAAAAAAAAAAAATTATCAGCTTTAAGTCTTATATACTCTAGGCAGTTTGTTGGTTATTTGTGAAGTGACTTCTCCAGAAATCTGACACAAGTTTTATTTATCCCCAGGGCTCCCCACAGTCCACTCCCTTTCAGATCATTAACACTTTATCCTCACTGGGAAGCCATCCTACACCAAGTTGCCAAAGTCGGCTTCCTTAGCTGGGGTCCCGCCATTCCTCTCAAGAATTCTCTGGCTCCCCAACACCTACAGAATAAAAGCCAAGCTATTTATGCCAGCATTCAAGGCCCTGTGTGATCTGAACCCAATCTGCTTCCCACGGTGCATGTTTCCATTTACTTAATCTGGGACGCCATGTTGCCCTCTACATCAGCGCTACTCAGAGTCTCTGCGGGCAGACTACACGGGTCCCCGAACTCTCTCACACGTCCACTGCAAAAAGTAGAGAAGTCACGAGGAAACATTTTGAAATCTTCATAGCAATTTTATATAGTTATTGTATAGTGATGACTCTAATAATATTGGGGCTTGCATTTTCTACTTTCTTTTCCCTTTTTCAAGGAATTCATTTTTACTGTACTTTACAAAAATATCTGTCATTCCACAGTGGGTTTGACATTTAAAAAGAAGCCCAACACAGAAGCCAAAAAGCCAAACCAAAGCCTGGTCCTGGTTGAAGAACACTCTACGGCCCGGTTCTTGGTTCTGCAGTCTTGGATACTAGAATCGCCCAGAGAGCGCTTACAAAAAGAAAATCCCAGCCCATTAGAGTTTCTGTGGGCAGAACCCAAGCAATGGCGGGTTTCAAAGTTCCACAAGAGAGTCCAACGAACCCCTCTGCAATGGCCCACACGCTGCCTTCTCCACGAAATTATCCAAACGATCCAATCTCGAGCTTGCCCAAACTTGCCCCCCCTGCCTCGCCCATTCCTCCCCACGGAAACCGCAAAGAAGGTTCTGGCCAGCGCTCTCTCCTTCGCTCCTCCTGCCTCCTGACCGAACCAGGGGCTTCCCCCTGTGGCCCTGCAAGCATGGACAGGGGGACTGTGGTACAACTTCCTTCCATGGCACCGACCTCCCTGTGCTGACAGGCAGTCACCTCTCTGAATTCAATCAGTTACCGCCAAAACAGGTGTGTCAAAACGGGTCTGCCGCTGTATGAATACGAGAACCTGTTCCCGACCAATTAGGACAGGAAAAGTAATTTGTTAATTTGCTGGAATGTTCCATGACACGTGCTGTTTAAGATGTTTTGCGTGTGAAGCCCGATCTTCCGGCACCCCAACTCAGTATTACTGGTTGGCCCCGGAGGCTGCAGTAAGTCAAAACCCAGACAGTGATATGAGGGGATCTGACGTGGACCACGAGAACCTCTAGGGGCCAGGCTGGTTCTGGAAACGTCTAACTGATGTGGTGTCTGGGGATAAGGGATAACACTAAACTGGAGTGGTTCAGCTATGAACCCTGGGTCCCCTTAGGGCTTAGAGAGGCTTTGGATGATTTACAAAATGGCCTGAGTTAGCCAGACACATTGCAGCCGCTGACTCGGGCCTAGAATCTTTGCTTCACGATCACTGGTACAAAAAGTTGAGCGTCCACTAAAGTAGTATTTTGAACTCTCATTTTGCTTTAAAGTTTCGTTTGGTTTATTTATTTTGAGAAAGCGAAAGAGGAGTGCAAGCAGGGGTGGGGCCGAGAGACAAGGAGAGACAGAGAATCTCAAGCAGGCTCTGCACTGCCAGCATGGAGCCTCGATGTGGGGCTCCATACTGGAACCGTGAGATCGTGACCTGGGCCGAATCCAAGAGTTGGATGCTTAACCGATTGAGCCACCCAGGTGTCCCCTGAGCTCTAATTTTTAAAGACGTAAATATTCCAACATGCAAACGAGGCATATTTCATGTAATTAAGAGAAAAAAAAAAACCATGCTGGAGTCAATGTCTAAAGAGATGTAGGAGGGGACAGTCCCGGTTGGACAGCCCCTCCAGCCAAGAATCCTCAAGGACATCATCACGGTGGGGCAGCCCAGCCACCTTGGAGAATAAGGAGAACGGCAGCTGTCAGCTAATTAAGAGCCTAAACTTCTCTTTTTTCTTTTTCTTTTTTTACATTTATTTATTTTTGAGAGACAGAGAGAGACAGAGCACAAGTGGGGGAAGGGCAGAGAGAGGAGGAGGTACAGAATCCGAAGCAAGCTCCAGGCTCTGAGCTGTCAGCATAGAGCCCGACGCGGGGCTCGAACTCACAAACCGTGAGATCATGACCTGAGCTGAAGTTGGAGGCTTAACCTACTGAGCCACCCAGGCGCCCCAAGAGCCTAAACTTCTCAATTGACGATATTTATTACAACTCAGGTCTCCGGCTATCCAAGCATTTCCAACATGTAAACGCCATCTGACTCCAAGTCCAGAACTCATCCTCTAACGAATGGGAATTTATGGTCTTAGAAAAGTTTTCCCCATTGTGGATGACCTGTAATAATCCTCACCTCCTCATATTCCTGACCCTTGAATATGGGCTAGACCTAGTAATCTGCTTCTAATGAGTACGACAGGGATGGCACTTGGGACTAGATTACAAAAGGCCGTGCGGGCCACCTTGTGCGTGCCCTCCCTCCCTGGCTCTTGGCTTTCCTTCCGTGGTGAAGCAAACCGCCATGTCGTAAGCTGTGCTATGGAGAGGCCCACGTGACAAGAAATGAGGGGGGCTGCTGGCCCACAGCCAACAAGGACCTGAATCCTGACAACCACCACGTGAGTGAGCGTGGAGGCGGATCCTCCCCCAGCAAACCTGGCTGACACCCTGAGGACAGACAGCCTGTGACGCGGCGAGCCAGAGGATCCCGCGAAGCCTTGCCTGGACTCATCACCCACAGGAACCATGAGGTAATAAATGTATTGTGAGCCACTGGGTTTGGGGGTGATGTGTCCCAGTGAGATATATAACAAATAAACTACACAACTAAAGGGATGATACAAAAAACAAAGTGCAGGTGAACAACTTGAGATATTTGTAAGTTGCAATAGTTACAGGAAGATATGTACCCCGAGTTCTCCCTCAGTATCTTCAGAGGTTTCGTCTACTCGTATTTTCTCTATGTATTGGGGAACTGGTGAAGTTTCAATAAAATACCTGTCGATGCCTAAATTGCCACAAAACACTGAAAGTAATGTTGACATTTAAATGAATAAAGTGCAATAATGATAATAATAATAATAATAATAACAATAATAATAAACGAGCATTTATTTGGACAGATCAGCAGAAACACTCCAGTAGGCTGGTTTAAATACTATATGCTACAAGAGGTGCAGCGGGAACATTTACATTTCTGAAATGCCGTACAAATCAAATATGATCTACAAAGAGGGTTCCCGAAGGCACCTCCAAAGGCTTCATAAAGCAGGATCGTGCTTCATCTCCATTGGCTGTATTTGCTGAACGGACTGTGAAGAATTTTTATTAAATGTAAATACTAAAAAAGTGCATTATAAAAATGTGGTATGTTAGTGTTAAGACCTGGTGACGCTGGGAAGTCACTGTGTCAGAATGCTGTATAATTTGCAGGATGTCTGCGAAAATGTCACGTACCTCGAGGGAACGGACATGGCGTCAGTTTTAGATGTGGGACTTTAAAGACAGAGAACATGGTTGTGAGTTCTAAGAGCTTTACCATGGAAGATCACATCAGATTCTTGAAAGGAACGTGATTTCTGTCTATCACGCCTATTTCTGTCCTTTCTGTTGTGCTGGGGAAGAATGGATGAAACAAACATGAGTAGCTTTCCTTGTCTTCCTTTCTAGAAAATATCCGCTATGCTTATTATCTGTTGTTACTTCTGCAGACAAGTACCGACCATCTGCTACACACAACAGGGAAACAAGATGTTCAGGCATGAGTCCCTCCTTCCAAGAACTTACAAAATACAGAAAAACTTCTGACACATGAATTAAACACACACACACACACACACACACACACACACA